AGAAGGGATATCTTAGTTAGTACTCTGTTTTATTTTTAATATAAATTTTAAGGCCCTTGTCTCGATGTTCCTGCTCCGGACATGGGCACAGGAGCGCGCGAGATGTCCTGGATTGCGGACACGTATGCAAAAACCATCGGTACGTTGGCTAAGCTTTTATTCGATAGTTACCACGTTATTAAATAAGATAAATATCTGAGCTTTTAAATCCACAATCATTTAATTTTGCAAAACTTACGGCAGTTTATCAACAGAATATAAGCAAACTCATAGTGTGCATCAACCGTTTTCCATAGCAGATAAATTTCTAATTTCTACACTTCTAAGTAAAGCATATAGAACCGAAAACTTAAATACATTTAGTTTACATCAAAAATTGAATGTTGAGTGAATGATGATTTCCATTCATGCCACTATTCGAGTTTTTGATTTCTATATTTACAAATGTCGTAGGCTACCAAGATCTCAACGCTAGCGCGTGTGTGACCGGTAAACCTGTTAACCAAGGTGGGGTTCTCGGTCGTACCGAAGCCACTGGTTTGGTAAGGTTATCGTTTCTTGTTTCTAAATTCAGCTATATTGTGAAATTCAATATTTGAATTCATGAATAACATTTAAATGGAACGTGTGACAATTTAAAATATTTTAATCCTACATTATTCGTGGTGTAGTACGTACAACTAGGACAATTATCAGTTCCATTTTTTGTCCTTAGGGAGTATTCTATGCCATTGAGAACTTCGTTAACAGTGAAAAGTACGCACAGATGTGCGACTTTTCTACTGGCGTTAAAGGGAAGACCGTCATTTGTCAAGGATATGGTAACGTCGGCTGGTGGACTATGCACTATCTTCATGGCGCTGGTGCTAAATGTATCGGCCTAATTGAGCTTGACGGCAGCATTTACAATCCCGATGGTATCAATGTACCCGAACTAGAAGCATACAAAGCCGTAAGTTACCTTTATTATTAATGTAGAATGTAATCCTACGTTCAAAATATTTCTTATTTTTCGGTTGCGCACCCAGTTTTAATTCGAATGAAACATGCAATGGAATACAAATAATTTATCCAAACGGTCAGGACAAGGATAGTCACTATAGAGTAATTACAATTTTCAGAGGTATAATGGCCAAAAGGTTGTGTATTCTAGTTCCAGGTGTACAGTATGATTGAAGCCATCATTAATTTTTTAAGGTTTGACAATACCATTGACCTGCCCTTCTAGGTATACATAAAGTAAGGCCAGTAATTTTTAAATAAATATGTAACAAAAGAAATTAACCTTAGGCTACAACACTTATCTTGAAAACGAAGTTTAACGGAGGCATTAAAATAACAAATTGTCTAGTAAGATTTTTTCAAATAAAAAATTAATAAATCCTTGCAACCCTTCACCTGCTGCGACTTTTAGCAAATCGTCCATTTGGTTTTCCTTAGCATGAGATTGTAGTGGGCGTGCTTTTCGTTCTGGTCGCACATTAAATTTGACGTTTAAAATCCTATTTCGTCATGCAGCCTATGAATTTTATTTGCTAATAATCTTTGTTCTACAGGAAGATTTTAGGCCAAAGATTGAATTTTCTATTACTGAAGGTTACTGCGCTAACACAAACTATTAGGTAGTCATATCCATCTGTAATGATTTTGGGGCAAAAGGGCATCTGATTCTGTACTTCTTTATGGTCCTCATATGTACTTTTGGTCTCTGGGACGACACTGGGCGTCAGAAGTGTCTCATATAACTGTCTACTCTTATTCAAAATTAAGGCTCACGGAGGAATCGCCGGCTTTCCGGGTGCGAAACCCTACACCAAGGGCTCGTTGTTCCATGAGAAGTGTGATATTCTTGTGCCCGCTGCCTGCCAGCGCCAAATCACGCTGGACAATGTTGAGGGCATCCAAGCGAGGATGATTGTAGAGGGTGCAAATGGACCCACAACACCTCCGGCCAACGAGGTTTGTCTCCAATTATATATGTATATATTAATTAGCAAGTGAAGTATATTTATTGCCACTATTGCCCGCTTATTATCATTTTCTTTCTTGAAGATTTTGCAACAAAAGAAAGTTCTCGTGATTCCTGACTTGTTGGCGAACGCTGGTGGTGTGACTGTCTCCTACTTCGAATGGCTTAAGGGCATGAACCATGTCAGCTTTGGTCGCCTTAATTTCAAATATGAGAAGGAATCTCACCTCCAGCTCCTGAGTGAGTCTTTTATGTAATGCATATCTATTTTGGCACTGCATTTGAAGACAACTCCCATAGGCTAGGCGACTGCATAGCTGGTTAGGGATTACTGAAACTTCAAAAACAATTTTTACTAGTCCTTGAGGCAATATAGACAGTTAGCACGCATCATTACTTAGTTTCCATTATTGCTTCACTTTGCAGACAGTGTGAGCAAATCACTGGAGAAGAAATTTGGTGACAAAGTTCCCGTGGCCCCTACGAAGGAATTTAGTGATCGAATTTCCGTGCGTAACATTTCACTTTGTTGCTAATTGCTTTTTCTCTTGTTCATCCACTCCTACAGTCTAATTGCTTTCTCTTTGGTTCTTAATTGCAGGGTGCATCTGAACGTGACATTGTATACTCTGGCCTGGAATTCACAACGGAAACCGCCGCCAAGGTAATAGCTGCCGCTGAAAATCTTTTGAAGTTATATTCCATTTTTATTCATGCAAATACAAATACATTCGGCAATGAACAGCAAAGGCAGAGATGTCAGAAAGGTTTAGCATGTTTGGTCTAATCTGTAAACCAGCAGTTCAAACTTCTAGGTTTTGCGTTTATTCAGAACTATTACTGTTTAGTAAAATTCATAGAAATTGTACTGTTGAGAAGGCCAAAACGTGCATGCTTCACGATCTATGACGTTTGTTTACTATTTCTTGCACTAGGACGTCATGAGAATTGCGGACAAGTATAACCTCGGATATGATATGCGAACGGCTGCCTATATCAGTGCCATCGAGAAGGTCTTCTTCATGCAGCACGGTTCCGGTATAATATTCAGCTAAGCAGCCTTCACACGGCTACGCTTTCTAGTCCCTCCCCGTCTTCCTATGATTTTAAAATGTATTCCATACTGGAGCGCCATTTTGTAAACGACAAGTCCCTGTGATATAACCCATCCGATCACCTCTAACTCTCTGCCACTTTTTTTAACCTAGAAGAGGGACAATAAAAAAAGATATCCTGAAAATTTCTATTCTTATGTTTTCTCACGGCTGGGGTATCGGCTTCCTTCTTCATGGCAAAAACTCAGTCATTGGCCGATAGCGATGAGAAAGCATCGAGTAAATGGCTATTTTTAGGCTAAAAAGCGAATATGTATATCCCGCATCAAGTACGAATACGCATTAGCACCCAACCATTCTATAGAGATCCGCGTTCCTGCTACTGTTTCCGACTCATGTCTCC